CCTGGGCTCTTGCAACATTTCACCTTTCCTGGCAGAACTTCTATGATTACAGTGTAGGATTTATACTAAAGAAAGTGATAATAAATATCTAAATGAAATCAGCTAGATTTAAAAAAAAAAAAAAAATAAAATAAAAATTCCCAGCATCCCTTCTTGTATGCATGTGTAGTCATACTGACATAACAAATTTAGTCCGATGAAGTCCTAAAAGGGCACAACGTGTCACAAAACTTTTTCCACTTTGTCATACATTTCCCTAATAAATATATATATATATATATATATATATATATATATATATATATATATATATATATGAAAAAAAATATATGGATATCAACATGACAAAGATATTGAATGGATAATGTTAATTATATTTTATGAATATGTCCTGAAGATGGTTTATTAGACTGAAACATCCGACGTTGACATTATATTAACATTAAAACAGCATAATTGCATATAAGGATTTTTGTTTGTTTTTTCCGTATATTTTTCTTCATACTGTCGGATCTATATCCATATATTTGCTTATATATATATGGTTGGTGCATAATTATCAGACGTTTTTGTAGGCAAGTTATTTGTTAATAAAAATTTACTGTTTACTATTTTTTTAATAAAAATATTATTTTATTTTCAGGTTATAAAAATGCCTGTCGATAATCATACGTTCCGGAATAATCATTTAAAAATGCTGTTGTTGAAATGTTGTTTCTTTTTCTGCCAAGGAAGTTGAAAACATATGGACCTGGGCATAAATTTACTGTGAATGATCTAGCAATTAAAGCACTTTCTAAACATTTTTATCTTTCAAGTTGAAGGAGGAATTTACTCTATTACCTATAATAATTGCTAAAAGGAATACATTGGAGAAACCTCAAGGAATTTAAATAGATGATTATATGTGCATGTGCGAAATTAAAAATATAAAATGATGACAAGTTACCCATCGCAACCTGTGTGACGCACCTTCGAGTAGAAAGCAGCTCTGGTGACAAAAAATGATTATTCTATGTTAATCCCATGTGTGTTTTTGTGCATGTAAATATATATATATATGAACATTGAAGCCAACACTTAGAGGTGACAGGCTGTTTCATACTAAGTGCAATCATCAGTCCTGACGATTTCGCCTAGCATGAAACAGCCTGTCGCATCTAAGTGTTGACTTCAATGTTCACTTTTATATTTACACATGCTCTTTCTGTGATGTTGAGCACTTTATCCCATAAATATAGCACACCGTAAAAGTATATTTCTTCATATATATATATATATATATATATATATATATATATATGGGAAATTGTATGATGAAGTGAAAAAAAGTTGTGATGCATTTCGTCCTTCAGGACTTTATCGAACTAAAGTTATATAAAGTTATGTTGGTATGACTACACATGAACAAAGGGTGCTGGGGATTTTAGAATTTTTTATATCTAGCCAAATACATTTAGTCTTTTTCTTTTTCTTTCCATCACTTTTATAAGTAAGAAGTATTCCACACTGTGATATTAAAAGATCTGCCAGGAATGGTGAAATGTTGAAAGAGCCATGGTGCAAATTTACTGTAGAGGACCCTAGTAATTAAGGCACTCTCTAGACATTTATGTCATAGTGAATTATTTTCTCCTTTGATCAGAGTAGCATTTTTTATATCAAAATTGTGGTCAGTCTCATTATGGTGGGTGACCAATGCATGTGATGTATTATTTTGTAAAATGTCTATTTTTGTGTTCATATAAATAATATTTTTTAGATTCCTTGAGGTTTCTCCTATGTATTTTTTGTGACAATTATTACAGGTGATGGAGTAGACAGTATAGAGTTTAAAAACTGAAATATAACACCAAATAATTCCACCTTCACAATTTTTAATGACGCTAAATAAATAGTGAAACATATCAAATTTATAAAGGTTTCCTACTTGTTTCTTATTCAGTCATCATATATATAATTTTAACACCCATTTTGTTTTGTCTTTAGGATGCAAGAAAAAGAAATGTTAAAACTTGCTGAACAGCGAAAGAAAGACAGATTAGAAGATAAATTGGCCAGGTAGGTTTTTTTTCTGAAGCATTTTTCTTTCTGTTTTTATTTAAATCGTCTTTTTTTTTTTTTCGTAAAAGAAAACTAAACCCTCATTCTTATACTTCAACGTTTCCTTTTATCACTTCAAGGATTTTTCTCTTGTCTTTTTTTTTTCTTCTTCCTCAGACAACGAGTTTTAGAAAATATCAAACGGGACCGATTAGAAAAAGAAGAGGTATCGTACTTGTTTTATTCCTCATTTGTACAGAGTTGCACAATACAAGAGTATTGTGGATTTTACAAGTAGTTGAGGCTGTATTTTGGTTTAAAGATTCCTAATTTTTTTTTTTTTTTTTTAAAACTCCTCTTGATTTAACCACACAAAAATTTATGAATTTTTACCTAAAATGCAAACTAGCTTCACAAACCAGATACAAACATGTAAATAATCCATCTTGTCAGGTTAAGAGTCTGTCTATATTTCTGAGATGAGGTATTATGTACACTATTTACATTATTCGGACTATTGTCCTCATCTTTGTCGACATATTTATTACAACGTTTCGGCCTTTTAGTATCTGTCTATATTTCTGAGATGAGGTATTATAATATTATTTACATTATTCAGACTATTGTCCTCATCTTTGTCGCCATATTTATCACAACGTTTATAAATTTGATATGTTTCACTATTTATTTAGCATCATTAAAAATTGTGAAGGCCGGAGCGTACAACAGCTGAAACGTTGTGATAAATATGGCGACAAAGATGAGGACAATAGTCCGAATAATGTAAATATTGTCAGGTTAAGTTATAAATAATTTCTGTTTATCAGCTTAACTCTTCAGAAGATAAACTACAATTACATTTTATTTAATTCTATATTCACTCCTTGTTGGAGTATTAGTCATTTTGAATGCTTACAATGCAGTGAAACATTAAATGTACATTTATATGTCCAGCAGCTGCAATCTGTCCCTGAAAGTTTAGCTGAAAAGTACTTTGCACTTGTCAATAGGAAAAAAATGTTGTTCTCCCTAACAATACAAGGCTGTATATAGTAAGGAACAAATTTTTGAACTCAAATGGTCTGTTCTACCCCACCTGCCATGTTCACCTGACTTTGAATCAACTGATAATTATCTTTTTGATGGGGAAAACTGTCTCTAATGAAAGCCAGATTAGAGAGTCCATCGACAACTTTCTCGCATCAAAACCTGCAGGAATTTACTCAAAAGGTATCGAAGAGCTGCCTGATAAATGGCAACAAGTTATTGCAAATAATAATGAATTAATTCCTTGAGACTAAAATGATCTTTTTTCTTGTTGTGTTTGTATTGTAATGTTTTCCCATCTTTTATTAGATGAATGTTGTTAAAAATCAAAATCAGTTCCTTTTCGCTCAAGCAAGCTTTTGTCAGACACAAATTGGACAAATTGTTTGGTTATTCTTGTTCATGTTTACGCTTGTTTTGTTCTATTTTTGATGACATTAGAAGTAAAGTAACTTTTTTTGATTTCTTTCATCTCTCTCTCTCTCTCTCTCATTATTTGGCTAATAAGTTGCAGTTAGAAAAACTAGCTACAGAGAGAGAGAAGAAATACTTGAATAGCCTCATCTCTAGAAGGCTCAGAGTTGACAATGGAAATTCTAGTGAACACATTTTCAATTTTTCCAGTGTCACTCTGACTGAGATTGAACTGATGTTTCTTTCTCATGGACTTGATTTCTGCATTCCCCTCTCCCCCTTCTAAAATCTGTAAGGAACAGATTTTTTCTGAGTTTGAGATTATGTACTTTCAATTAATTAAACATGTTCCTTCCTCTTTTGATAAGCATTCTGTGATTAAAGCCAGAATACTTAAATTGTCTAATGAATATGCTTCGCTCACTGCTGAGCAGGATTTTCTTGCATGGCAAAGTGTTCATTTTCAGACCATAAAATCTTTAAAGTCAAGGAATGACGTGTACATTACTAAGCCCAATAAGTGTTCTGGCATTGTCATCATCTTAAACGGGCAAGATTATTTGGATAAGATGGCCAATATTTTGAATCATTCCTCCAAGTTTAAGATGATCTGTCCTGCTAATACTTGCAATGCTAGTAGGGCTGAAGCGAGAACACAGAGATGGTTGCTTTCAGTATACAGGAACAACCAAATCTACAAGTACATCTATGACAGGGTCTCAGTAGCCCAGAATGTATGGACTACCAGGTACATAAGAATGGTGTACCACTGAGACTCATCTATGGTAGGATCTGTGCAACATGAGTTGGCCAAATGGTTGATTGAACTGCTCCAGCCGGTATCTGATGTCTTCTCAGCACATATCTCTGACTCTTTGTGGTTTTTAAATTTCCTTAGGAATGAAACTGATAGTGTCTTTTGACATCGTTAACCTGTATACCAATGTGCCTCTTCATGAGACCATTTAATATATGTACTGATTCTCTTTATACAGGTAATTTAGGCCTGTCTAGCCTTCCTGAAAATTTGTTTTTGGAGTGTATATGTCTGGTGATTGAAGGTGTTGAATTCAATTTCAACAATAGTATGTATGCCCAGACAGACCGTGTTGCAATGGGTAGTCCTTTGGATCCCATACTAGCCAATATTTTCGTAGGTTATCATGAGGGACTTCTGTTTGATAAGATCCAGAAAACATTATTTACATTATTTGGACTATTGTCCTCATCTTTGTCGCCATATTTATTACAACATTTCGCCCATTGTATGCTCCGGCCTTCTTCAGGTGTCAAGGACACATGGCATAGTGGATAAAGGCATTGGTTAGATCCAGTGACAGGACCCAAAGAGTGTGAGTTCAATACCCGGTTAAGGCAGTGGAGAACTTTCAGAGGGAAATTAACAGGAGATAACTGATAACTAACATCCATTTAACATGGCACGTGGAACTAGAACAGTCTACTCCAGTGAGTGAAATAAAGGGTTAAGTTCGACATTCCAACCACCTGAAGAAGGCCGGAGCATACAATGGCTGAAATGTTGTGATAAATATGGCGACAAAGATGTAAATAATATACATAATACCTCATCTCAGAAATATATACTGAACATCCATAAACCCTGTGTTTATGTGCGGTACGTTGATGATATCGTTTCAATTTTTGATTCTACTGGAGACACCACTGATGTTTTTGCGGAACTCATTCTCTCAATCTATCCCTTCAGTTTACTATGCAGGTTGAGAGTGATAATACATTGATTTTCCTTTCTAGATGTTCTCATAGAATGCAAGGATGGTGTTTTTATCACCAGCATCTTTTGTAAAACCACTTTTACAGGCTTTTACACAAGTTGGAACTCTTTTGTTCCCAAAGCCTGCAACCGTTTCTATCCTGGTTCATCATGCTTTGAGGATCTGTCCTCTTAGCTTGTTAAATGGAGAAATTGCAAGAATTCAGAAAATTTTTGAAAGTAATGATTATCCTACTAATGTCATCAAACACATTATTGATGGTAAAATTAGACGGTTTAAAGAACCAGTGGTTCTAGGACCTAGTTGGTGCCCAATTTATTTGAAGTTACCTTGGTTAGGAAGGAAGTGTCAACTGCTTGTTGATAGAATTTCAGCATGTGTTGCTTCATGCTACAAAGCTGTTAAGTTGCATACTGTGTTCCAGATGAGATCTGTGTTTCCATCCTTCAGTAAGGATTGGTTGTCCTATTTTCAGAATAGTTCGGTTATATATAAATTTAAATGCCATTGTGATGCAGTGTATATAGGACAGACCAATTAGAGGCTGGAAACATGGATTGTGCAACATGTACCTGCCTATTTGCGTTTGAGTAGTCAGTCATGTTAAAAGAACCACTCAAGCAGTGCACGACTCTTCCACTGAGCAGCATTTGCTGGATAATCTTGATTGTCCTGACATTTATGATGACACGTTTTGTTTTTTTTCTTTCCAATCTTACATAGTGCTCACTTGGTTCACTATCTCCAAGTCTTTGAGGCTGTTTACATTAAGTTTCATTATTGTTCCTTATGTTTGATTGAGGGATTGTCAGTGACTTTTTTTCCATTTTATATACTTTTTGGAACTTCCCCAAATTTTTTTAGTTGTTAATTTATTTATAACTAAAATCTATTTTAATCACATTCCAATTTTCCCTCCTCATTCGTTATTTAATAATGTCTTCAATTGTTTCTTGCTTCACCAAGTATTGCCTTTTGAAAAAGCATTGGCTGAAAGGTTCCTAAAGGTTAAATAATTTTATTTAAAAATATATATGTAAATATATAGTTGAAACTTGTATAAATTTATTTGTTAACTCCAGTTTTGTTACCTAAAACGTAAACAACAGTTATTTGTTGAAAGGATTTTTTTTATCTGCCATTATTTCTTATAAACATTATTTCTAGTGGCTACACGTGTTTGATTTGCTATGTTGGTTTTTATTTCATTAAACTGTGAAATTAATAACAATCGGCCTAGATTGAGATGGCATACTAAAGAAAAATTTAGCCTCTGACAGGAATTGAACCTGTATCGCTTTTTTTTTTGTTACCTCAGGGAAACCACTTAAGCCAAACTGTGCTTCAGGAACAAAAGGGATTCAGGTTCAATTCCTGTTAGAGGTTGAATTTTACTGTGAGATATATATATATATATATATATATATATATATATACACACACACACAAACTCTGTATCCTCAGGCAATTTTTATGAATTGACCTTCCAATGCTTTATGAAAAAAACAAAAAAAAATATAAAACAATGACTGCTATATTATTTTTAAAAATAAATAAACAAACGCGAGGCGTTGGGTGTGAAAGGGAGGAGGAGATGCGAAGAAGGAAAGAGAAGAAAAAAAATGATATTGCGTTCATTGTTTTTTTTTTTTTTTTTTTTTTATAAATAAAGTGTTGGGAAGATAAAAACCACCTGAGGATACTGTAAGGTTGAAACCAAAGGTAGTGAAATCAACTGGCCACCTAAATTTTAAAGGTAAAAGCTCTACGTTATTTTTTTTGTGTTTTTATTATTATTTTTTTTATTTTATTTTTTTTCACATGTGTATTAAGGTTTTTTTCCTACTGCTGTTTCCTGGTCCAGTTCAACTCTGACCATTGACCTTTTATGTATTATATTATAGCTTCCCATATATATAAAGAATATATAGTAATTGTAGTTATGTCTCTGTGATATGTACTGTGATATATATATATATATATATATATATATATATATATATATATATGAGAGAGAGAGACACACACACACAAGACAAATATAAAGCCATATACTTATATAATGGAAGTAGCACAGTACATGAAATATTGGGATTAATATGTGTTTAAGTTGGGGTGTCATCCTGGAAAGACAGGAATAAAGCAAATATTACTAGCACAACAGATAAAAAATGCCCTGGATGGTCACCCCTAATGGTAATGATGTGAGAATATGTAAATTTGGAATACTGGTTTACATAATACAGAATTTCCAAATTGCATCACTATCAAGCAATCAAATTGCAGAATTTCTTGTTGTTGAAGGTGTTATTGTGGCCAGCAATAATTTATCATCTGGTCACGATCATGGCCGTCCACAAGGTACCAGTTAAAGTAAATTACCATTTACCAATACAGACATGCATACAGTGAATTAAGTGTTATAAGTGATACATGCTTGGGTGATTCTGTCTCTTTCAATCCATGACTGACTAAACAGAAGATTTTCCCCACAGTGGTTTGCTGTTTATTTCTGTGGGGTAGACTGGTTGCCAACCAAGGTTTTTGGACCCAGTTTGTCTGGTATTTATTTAACCATAGCTGGGGGGTAGAGAAGAGATGGATTCATACCTTTCCCAAGAGTATTTGCATGTAAGTGAATGCAACAAACCTGACTGGAATTTGAACTTGGTTCTTTGATTTCTCATTCTGTGTCATCATAAGATGTAATTATATTTAAATCTTATACAGAATTTGTTTGAGTTGACAGTGATGTTTTTAATTCATCTCCAAATGCAAATTTGAGTAAAGCTAAAATCACAGTTTGAATTTCACTTATGACTTTTTATTTTACTTTTGCAGGAAATCCTTATCATGGGGTATGATTTTTAAAAATTTAAAAAAATTTTTTTAATTAATTCACAGCAAGCAAGGTGATAATGCCACTAAGATGCAAGGGGCTACTGGGAGTGAAAGAGAATGAGAAGACTTTAGAAGGAAGTGGAAACTCAATTCTAAACAAGGAATAAACCCCTACTCTTGTTCAAAAAAACTGGGGAATAGTGTATAGTCAGTGTCTTTATTGATGAAGCAATGTTAACCTTAGAAATAAAATGGTAATTGGGTACAGTGTTGGTTTGTTTGGTGTGTGTGGGGGGGGCATCAGGTAATTGGAAAGATATGAATGGGGTGGGGATAAGTACCATTTTAAAAAAAGTTTGCAGGTGTTTCTTTCTTTATCCCTACCTTGCAATTAAAGGTGAACCTTTTTAAAAAAGAATTGACATTTTCATATTCCAAAACTTTTTGCTTTCTTTGTGACCCCCACTTCTCCTTTTGAAAAGGGAGAGAGAGAAAGAGAGCAACTGGCCAGAAATAAATTTTGTCACGTTTTATTCATTTATTTGTATTATTTTGTAATTTGAAATCAAGGATACTTTTTTATTTTTATTTATTTCAGGCTAATCGGAGAGCTAAAGGACTTTCTCCATCTGATGAATCCGTGGCTCTTAATTCCAATGCCACAACAGCACAGCAACCAGCTGCTACTCGAACTGTTTCTGCATCTCCAAAAGATAATACTGAATGCAAGTTAATGGTAAGAAATAGGTCTTTATTTAGAATGGCAGTTAAAAGAAACTGTCATATATTCCTTCTTAGTTATTGTGATACAATGGAATCGGGCATAGCTTAAAACTCCCATCAAGTAGATTGGGAATGATTTTATCCGAGTCTGAAGCGTCTGGTATTTTATGACCAGCAGTAAAGCCTAAAAGTAAGATCTAAAAAAACAACCACTCAGTGTCCTGTAGTAGTAGAAAGGAAATAGAGTAAATAAATTGAAAATTTTGGGATCAAGTGTCACTTGACCAAAAGTTAAAAAGTTCCGGTTGCAGGCTTATATAAGCAGAGTTGAGTTTTTTTTTGTTTTTTTTTTTTTAATAGGAATTACCTCAAGTAAGGCAGTAATACCACTAAAACACAAGGGGTTACAACGTGTGGAAGAATTAGGAACAGAAACATTAATAATGATCAGAAAGAGAAAAGAGTAATCAGGTGGACAGTAGATAGCGATTTACATTGCATTTGAAATTTTGCAAATTAAAATTGGCTGGAAAGAAAGGGACCAGAAGGGAATTCCATAAACGAGAAGAAATTGTTAGTATAGAATTTATGGCTACATTTAGCCAGCTCAACTGTAAATTGATGAGATCACAACGTTAGTTTAGTGCTGCACTCAAATTCAAAACCTGTATGTACGATAGCGAAGAGCATTATTTATTTGTGTAAATACAAAATGTGGCACAAGGCCGAAATGGGGGAAAGGACAATCTTCATCTGTCTTAACATTAAAATTAGTTAGGCACAAACATTGACCCAAACATTCCATAATATTCCTTACATCAAAACGATGCATTCTTACTTTGCTTACTACCTCCACCATAATACCTCATTGTTTCTATGAACCCCCCACCACAATCCTTAAATGTGGCAGATACATCGGTTAACTGGATGAAATCAATGCAGGATTTTAATAATATAAAACATTCACTCAAACACACACTCATTCAAATATGAAAATCATATCCAAAATGAGAGGTGCCCCATATCCACCAGAGAACTGACATCACTGACCACCTAATGAGGGAGGGGATGGGGAATTGAATTAAAGAAAAATAGGGACAGAAATAGAAAGGGCCAGTGTACATACATCCCCCTAGCTAAGTTTACTGGAATCAAGAAACTAAGGACACAAAAACAACCCTAAACTAATTTTGGGCGAGGTTGCCTAAGTTCAATACAGAGAGAGCAATATCCTGATGCCTAACCAGCATCAAAGTGCCGTTCCAAGTCAGCCCCTTTCATTCGACATGAACATGCAAGATTCACCCATCTTTTGCCAAATTCTAATGAAGGGAGTCATTGCTTTTCCGTCCTAATCTTGACTTTAAGCTGATGCTTAAAGTAAAAGATCAGTTGGGAAGAAGTGAACTTCTTGCTCTCATAGAATGCCTTCTGATGTGTCGTCCAAATCACGACTCTCATAACCCCTAGCAAGCAAAAGGACACAGTGTTCAGCCTTTGTCAATGGCGGTACCACATTTCTACAGATGATAGCGAAGATCTCATTTGAACAATTGCCATGAAAGTATTTATAGAAAAGACATAGAGAGACAACCTTATGGTAGTGAGAAAGTGACTGGAGCTGAGCTGCCAGATTAGGACTAATAATATTGCAGATTCTTCTTTGGATTTTATCCAGGAGCTCAAAATAAATAGCAGGGGCACTGGACTATATGTGGCAGCAATATTCTAAGCATTTGCTTTGTGCATATTGCAACAATTACAGTATGTGTTAGCTGATAGTTTGGCATGAATGCTCTGTAAAGATAAAAGCAAATTATCACATAACTGCAGGCACAAAATCTCTTGTCTTGGAATATCTTATGCACACTTTATATATGATAATGTTTTTCAACATGTGTTCCTTGTATTTTGTAAATTCTTGGGCTGGTGCTGATTTTGGTCCAATTTATGAAAAAAAATGTCTAAATTGTTTTGCTATTTTTTTTTTTTTTTTTTTGTCTATTTGCAGCTTCGGCTTTCTAATGGAATAAATTTGAAAGCCACGTTTAGCAGTAAAGAAACATTGGCTGCTGTGAGAGTGTATGTAATGGTAAACTGCAAACAAGTCGGTGATGCTCCACTCAGCTTTTCAACTGCCTACCCAAAGAGAAAGTACACTGAAGAAGACATGCAACTTCCCCTTAATGAACTTGGTGAGTTGGTACATTATCAGTTTACTCTGTTTAATAAATTAAGAAAAGTTCAAGTGACTTGTCTGGTTATTGGATCTCCGATTTATATGCTTACTAAATTTTGTTTTAAATTAAATAAATAAAGCTATAATATTCAATAAATTAAGAAAAGTTCAATTGACTTATCTCATTATCGGATCTCCTATTTAAAAGCTTACACTGAAAAGTTCAAGTGACATATCTCATTATCGGATCTCCTATTTATAAGCTTACACTGAAAAGTTCAAGTGACTTATCTGGTTAGTCATCGAAACGCTCATCAGGATTCAATGTTTGAATCTCTTGAACTTACCAAATCCTATATTTATACTTTTCTAAATCAATGAATGCTAATTCCAACTTTCAAATTTGAATTTCTTAACACGTGAGTGTTTCATTATTATAGCTTGAGCCATCTATTGAATGCGTTTTGGCAGAAGTTTTGCTAATCTGAAAAACAAGTAAAATTCTCTCTATTTTTCACATAATAGAATTCATTTGCAACATGTTGCTGACATGTTGAAAACTTCACATTATTGAGAATTGTTGAAGTTATCGCTAGCATTTATTGTTGAGATTTACAAACTCTATGTTTTCAATTTTGCAAACCAATTGATGAAATATAAAAACTTAAAGAAAAGATATATACAAAAATTAATATCGCATTTAACCTACCGTGGGAAAAAATCTGCCTTGTCAGTCATATATTGAAAGATACATGATCGCCTAAATGTGTATCACGCATGGCATTTAACTGACTGATTTGTTATTTTAATCATTAGATTGTTTTTCAAATAGTGGGAGTATTTTGTATGGTAAACAATAAAATTTTTCATTTTTTCCCCCCGAAAATGAATGAAAATTTGCTGTTACTATAGTGTGAGGTCTACCTCAATATGTTGTCTACCCAGGTGCAGCACGAAGGTTTACCATGCCCATCCTCTCCCGTGGCCATCAGGTCAAGTGAGGTGAGGTCTAACATGGATATTTGTATGTGTGTCACATTTTCTAAATATGTGACCTGCCTATATAAAAAGAAGCAAATGAAGTTCCTAAATAAGAATCCTCCTCGGCCTGAACCAGTTAAGAAATATTTCAGAACTTCTGTTCAGGGTACTTCAGGGTACTTCAAAATGTTGCTGAAGGAGTTTTATAGAAAAGTCATCCTGACAGAGGAAACAGCAGTTGCCTTTTTAAGAGAACACAATCTGATGGATACAGTTCAACAAGCAGAGCCATGCCATAATTGCGGTTCTGTCATGGAGGAAAAAAAGGAAGCGTAACAGAGGAGGAGAACTCAAGCCTGTACTACATTGTCCTCGAAAGAGACGTCAAACTAAATGGTCTGTCTTTAAAGGAAATCAATTTTTCCATTATACAGACATGAATAATGTATACATTTACAATATAGTTTGATGCTGCAGTAGACCCCAGGCTATATTAGCACCCTTTTCTCATACTTCTCACTTGTGGAACTATCTTTCAGATTCTTGCTTTCCAGTCAACTTTGGACTACAAAAAATTTAAATACAACGTAAATCATTCTTTTGTTTTCTGAATTACTTTTCTTGCTTATAATCGCTTCTATTAATCCTATGAAAAAATTTTTTAAACCAGATAGCATAATGAAATTAGTGTGCTATATGTCGTCTATCAAGGTGCAGTGCAGAGGTCTACCATGTCACTACCCTCATGGATATTTATATCTGTCACATTTTCTAAACACGTGACCTGCCCATATAATAAGTAGCAAATGAAGCTCCTAAATCAGAATCCTCCTTGGCTTGAATTAAGAAATATTTCAGGGTACTTCAGGGTTCTTCAAAATGTTGCTGAAGGAGTTTTATAGAAAAGTCATCCTGATAGTAGAAACAGCAGTTGTATTTTTAAGAGAACACAATCTGCTGGATACAGTTCAACAAGCAGATCCATGCCATAAATGCGGTTTTGTCATGGAGGAAAAACAAAAACATAACAGAGGAGGAGAATTCAAACCTGTTGTCCTATTGGTAAAGGAAATCAATTTTTCCATTATATAGACATGAACAATTAATTGCACTGCAACCCAAACTGGAGTGAAATCTGTGGTGAACAGCCCCGCAGAAGCAAGCAAGCCAGAGTGACTTGCATCTGGTGTATAGGAAAATAAGGGTCTTACCTTAACATGCGGCATGTGACATCAGCAGGTTTGCTTTGTGAAAATGGCATTACTCTCCCGTCCAGCCATTCTAGCAGTATGTGCAATGATGAGGGGTTTTTTGTACAGTTCAGAATGCTTCCACCAATAGCAAGTCGTGTGCTGATTGGTCGAACTGGAGGAGGCAATTTGCCTGTGTAACCGAGAATAACATTGAAGAACGCTGATTGGATGGGGAACCACGGTATTGGCTCTGATAAAAGAGGGCTGGAGCCGTGGAAAAGGGGACAGAAATGTTGGCTATACGTATTAATGTGTGAAGAAAGCGAGGATGGTGAATTGAACCAGCGATATTGTGATTTGTACAAGTGACGTTGCAGCAATAGACTTATTTAAGCTACAAAATCTTAGAACTAATAGTTTTCTTTGTAATGGATATACCAATGACCAATCTAAATGGAAAAATCTCCAAATACTGTAACTGACTAGTACAATATATACTGAAAGGTGTGTGAAGCCATTGTTTCTCATGAACAAAAAGGGAAGATGGTTAGAACAAACCCCTAAAGGTAGACCTCACGCTATAGTAGCACCAAAAATTTATTGTACCTGCATCAAACCAACTGAACTTTGTATCCCTTTACCCATTTGCACATCCCCTCAAAATTTGGTTTCATTGGTCAGTGTATGTCTATTTTGGAGGGTGTGATGGACAGACAAATGGAAGTCACAGAATATTATATATAGATTTTCTCATTTGTATTATATCTTTAAAAAAAATGTGGGTATCATTGTCTATCAACTTGGTGTTCAGCATTGGAATTTGACTTTGTAAACCATGTGATCTTCTTGCTTTCTCCTGAAATGACATGTGGCAGGTTCCGTTTTGACATTGCTTATCAGCAGGCTTTTTTTTTATTTTTTTTTTTTAGTGTGTGTGTGTGGGGGGGCACGACCAAGTATGAACCAACAGAAGGGCTACTCAGGCATATTGCATCTGGAAATAGTGCGAGTATCTGTTCTTATGCTAGTACAAACCATTTGGGTACTATTTTCAGTTTGGGGAGGGGCATTCTTGTTTGATCACCAAAGTTAAGTAGTGTTGAGCCAGATCAGTAGTTAGATGGGTGGATACTTGGGTACACTGGGTACCGTGAGCAACATTCTACTGTCCAAAATACGTTTTGGCTTTAAATAAACCCACAAAGAGTTGATAAGCCATAAAAAAATCAAATCTGGTTAGGCTAACGTAATGATTCCCAGTACAGAAGTTTAAAATGGCAATTTTTCATTTTCTCTACCATTTAACTATGTTTTTTTTTTTTTTTAACCCAATATGAGGCTCAAGAGCCACTTAAGGTAGAAGGTTACAGAATGTGGTGTGTGATATGGATATAAGAGTAGGTGGTGAAGATTATGAGGATGGATAATGATTGACCATTGACTTGAAAAGGTTAAGATTGTGGTGTTTGTGGGAGAATCCATGCAGAAGACTGTTTCACAAAGTAGCAGTTATTGTGATGGGGGAGCTGTGTGGAACTTCTTCATTACAGATGGAATACTTTGATTAATTAGTTTACTGTGCCAGTAACCAAATGTCCCCCTCATTTGTTGTGTTCACTTTTGTCCTTGAGGCAGACATGAATCTATCTCTTCTCCCTTTCAGATTTAGGTTTAAATATCAGGGCAGACAGAGTCTTCTTTAGCCTTGAGTAGCTGCCAGTCTAGAAGAAGTTCTCTAAATTCAAAACCACGGAGAAGGAAATTGGAAACCAGTCTGCTATCCTTCTTAAATTGTCATAGTAGTTCACATATATTAAAGAAAAGGAAGCCGTGAAGAGCCGTGATCTCTTATATCTGATATGGACATGATAATAAAAAATAGGAATAAAAACTATTTGTGTGAGTATTTCTTCTTCTGTTAGTTTGGATTTTTTTCTTTTCTTTCATTGCAGGACTTGTCCCAACTGCTGTCCTTAACATAACTGTTGGTTGAATTGCTCCTGTCACTGTTTGTCCACACTGAGCTACCCAGTACTGGTCAAGTGTCAAGAGAAGGCCAACTGTGTGAGGCTTACACACAGATATATGACTATTGTGGCTGAAAATTATGGGGACAGTGTAGGTATCACCATTCCCCTAAGATGATTGTTATGGACAAAACTTTATCCACTCACTTGATGGTGAGAGATAAGAAATTTAAAAAAACAAAAAAAAACCCCCAAAAATATGTGAAATTTGAAAAAAAAAAAACAAAGCTATTGAAAATATGTTAAAATATTGAGTCTATATTTGCTTGCTTTTATTGATGGGCAAAAAAAAAGGACTTGCAAAAAAAAAAAATGAACATATAATATGTCTAAAATAAAAATCAATTCAATTTTGATCTCTCTTCTCTTTTCCTTCAACAACAGCTAAGTTCATGCATAGAAAATTGTATAGAATTTGCTATGATGAATGTATAATTGATGATATATTTTTATTTTGATTTTAATATCTATCTATCTACATACACACACAGAAGGTGCAAAGTCAAATTTTAGATAATTTGATCCCCCCCCCATAAAACAATGTTTATGCTAAAACTTAGCTTCCACCCTTTCCATCAGGGTCATTCTCTCTTGGTCTGTTTGCATGCTTGCTCACAAGGGCTAGAAATAAACAATTGTACTAAGTTCAGTTGACTTAATAGTGTTCAAATAGCTATGATTTTTATATATACTGTTCAACCTTTTTAATTCGGCATCCTTGGGACTAGGGCACAGAAAGTGCTGGATGACAGAACCCCCCACCCTATAAAAAAAAAAAACCTATGTAAACGTAGACAAATCAATTCACACATATGGTGAGGCAAAAGTTGGGCTGCATTTAGATAATTTATTAAAAGTATAAGTACATATGAAAATTTTGTTTAATTGTTATATGTGATTCTGAGGTCAGCACCTAGCAGCCTGTTTCAGGCTTTCATGTTTTTAACACAAACTTCAGGCTGTACATTCTATCCCTGATATTGAGCACTTTAACCAATAAATATTTTATACCTTTAAACTATATTTTTATCATAGGGTGAATTAAGAGTCATGCAGCATAGGGATAATTTATTAAATGTATAATTGCACATGAAAATATCACTTACTTGTTATTTGTTATGTGCTGTTCAAAATGGCCTCCTTTCTTTTTCAAAACCCATTTCAATTCTGTGCTTGCCTGATTCATTAACACCTCAGAGAGTTTCCTCAGTCATTTTACTGCATTCAGATTTAATTCTTTCTTTTCTTTAAAGTCTTCAATGTTTCTTGGCTGATAAACAACTGATTTCAAATGACCCCCACAGGAAAAAAAATCCAAAACCTGATTAATCAATTAGCCTTTATGGTGAGTGATTTTTACCTCACCCTGTATATTGCTGTGTTATCAAAGGTAAACTTAAAACGAGAGAAAATTATTAATGCTTCCAAACAAGGTTTTCATTTTGATACAAAGATGACAAAGAAAACCTCAGAATAATATCCTGAATGGGTAAATATGCAATTATATATATATATATATATAAGAGATGATTATGACTGTATCACTAAAAGACTCTGCTGCTGTGGAATGTTGTAAACAACATGTGGCACTGCCCTTTGTAGCCACTCAACAAAATAATGGCAGCTGATTTAGAAAAAAAAAAAAGATTTACCAGACCACAGAGTTCTGGATTAAAGATGGCGGACTATATATTCAAGTCACTTGAAGATTACAATAACATGAAACTTGAATAGCGAAGTGTTTTTTGCTCTGTCTAAACCATCTAGGTGTTGAGCACTTTAATTTATTGTGTAGGTATGTGTTTACCTTTTGATCAGGATTTTTTTTTTCTTGTCTAATGTTTTAGGTCTTTTGGTAAGTTGTCTTGGTTCCACCAACATTATTGAATTTTTGTATGTATGGGATAACGATATATAAATTTTTATATTTCAAGAATAATTTTGGAAGAAATACGTACGATAAAGTGTAAAATTTTTTTTGTGTGGTGTGTTTCGTCCTTTAGGACTTCATCAGACTAAGTTTGTTGATGTGACAAGCAAGAGATGCTGGGAATTTTAAATTTAGAAAAAATAATTTTTTTTTAATTTGTGTTTTGGGTATATTATCTAGCCAATAGCATCTAGATTTTTTTTCCTGTTTCCATCATTAAAAATTGTTTTCTAAATTTAAAATTCCAAGTGTGTCTCATTCATGCGTATGTGTAGTGACATCAAAGTAAAAAAATCTAGGACAAAATGCATCACATGAAAATTTTTCCATTTTCTCTCTCTCTCACACACACACCTGATATATGGAGCTAGCATAATAGTGGCTTGTAACAAGAAATCAGCAAGCCAAGTTCAAATCCTTTGCTTGATCACCATGAAACCTTTATTTATGGATATGCCTGTTGCATTTATTACATATGCTCGGGTATGCGATATAATTTGTCTGTGCTTTGAAATAACCAATCATCAGACACTTAAATTTAAGTCAGTTTCATTATCCTGTGCAGTTACTTCTCTCATGATTAACTATTTTTTATGTCTTATCAACCCTTTGTGGTTTATTTAAAGCTAAAAAATATTTTGAGTTATAGCGAGCTGCTTACAGAATTCAGTGTCCCCCATCTAATTACTGACTGGGCTTAACACTGCTCAACTTTGGTGATTGAATGAGAACCTGTATTTTCAGAATGCTCTCTTAGGAGGAGATGGGTGCAGTCACCATACATGAAGCACACACATTTACATGAATATCTGATTAAAATTAATTCTGTGTGTACACACACACACACATATATATATATACATACACACAGAGGGTGTATCAAAAATACTTTTACAAACTTTGGGGACAGGTCCCACATCAAAGCAAGGACTAAAACCCATATAAACATGTCTGAAAATACTTTGTTTTTGAGTTATTAAGTCTTCGATGTCAGGCATCAATCTTCCTCAATCCATAGTATACTCCTCTCTACCTATTGTGATGAAGGCCCAACGAAGAGCCCTCCATGGGAGCTAGCATAAATGCTGCTGGACAGTGTGGCTTTTAAGTTAGTGTGTATGTATGTATGCATATATGTGTGTGTGTGTGTGTATATATATATATATATGATGGACTGATTGTTGCAAAGAGAGGGGTTAAAATTTTTGTTATGGCTTTCACTCCACACAAACTTGTGAAGGCCATAACATGCACACACAGGGTGTCTATAAAGTCACTTTACAGTTTAAAAAATTTATAACAAAATCAAATGAACAGACAAATATGTGGAAATTGTTACAAAATGAGGAGTAGATATTGAAGAAACACTGATCATAAATTTCAAATTTGAAATTCATATTATGTTAGTTTTGTTAAAAACATAACATTTATATTTAGAACAAGTTAAAATATTCTTTTTACTTAACTTTAATTCTTCATATCACTATATTTAATACACATACATACGTATATATATATATATATATATATATATATAACTATGAACCTAAAGAGCCAGGCAAACCTACCTAGGTTTCATTTATGCGAATCGTCAGGGTACGCTGGCCAAAGAGGTAAATTGGAACAGAATATATATATATATAGCCTAAAACATAAAAACAACCATGACACCACGTGACTAAAAAAAACAAACAAATAAAACAGTAACTCAACAACAGGGGTGGGGGTTAATTCATATATATATATGAATTACCCCCCCCCCCATATATATATATATATATGAGAGAGAGAGAGGGAGGGTGTCCATAATGTCTCTTTACAATTTCAAAATATTATTACATAAGCAAATGAAAAGACAAATACGTGTGGAAATTGTTACAAAATGAGTAGTTATTGAAATTTTTTTTAACTAATTTAATCCACTTCTATATGGGCACCATTAGTTACATGAAACACATCAAGACGGTACTTGATTTCTTGCCATGTTTGCTGTAGCATAATGGCATCACTGATCTCTTGCTTTAGATAAGTAATATCCCTTATCTTTGTTCAGTACACAATATCTTTAACCTCATAGAAAGAAGTCCAGGTGAGTGATATGTGGTGGCCAGGGAATTGGGTCATCCCTTCCCATGCACCTGTCTGGAAATGTTTGATTTGGGAACCCACAAATATTCAGTCCTCCCAGTGTGCACTATCTTGCTGGAAAATGATGGTTGGTTGAAGGTCATCTAGTTGTGGTGCCACATCAATTGCCTTTGTAATACGCACACACACACACACACACACACACAACTTTAGTTGAAATATTTGAAATGTGCATGTAAGTTGCTGGGTTTGTTTCAAAATCCGTAGTTTTTTAATCCAAAGAGAAAAGCAGGAAAAGAAAAACAACCATGAGAGAGAAAAATGAGGATGCATCACAATGAAATGATGACATCAGTAAGTTTTTTTTAATCCATCCCTAGCAAGTCTATAATGGCACTAAGACGCCAGGGGCTACTGGATGTGAAAGAAAAGGAGAAGACTTTAAAAGGAACTGGAAATCCAATCCTAAACAGAAAACAAAGATAAACATCCACTCAGTGTTTCTATAGTATGCGTTCTACTATGGTATCAAATCCTATGGCATCCGTTCTACCTCATTTACTATTATAGTATGTGTTCTACCGCGCTATCTAACAATAGTGTATCTAGCAGAGTGTTCTCTTGTTAAATTCTGAATGCTGTTTCCATGGTCAAGATGACATGTCGATAAAAATCTTTCAGCCATATTTTAATTTGAAGAGGGTTATCCAGCTGATATTAACGGTTTCAGACCTTGATGGATTCTAATGTGAGAGCTCCTTCCTTTCATGTGGTCAGGACACAACAGGTGAGGTGATGGTAGATTTCATTGTAGTAGAATGCAGGTGGACAGCACAAGAGGTGAGGTGAGGTCATGGTATAATTCATAGTGTGGTAGGACATATACTATATTAGTAAATGAGGTGAATTGCATACTATAGTAACACCCCTCTACTCCTATTCAAAAGA